CAGTAGACGAACGCAGCCTAAATATTGTCATCTGCAGCCATTCATGCAACCTTAGCAGGTGGATTGCATGTTAATGACAAGTTAATCGCCCATCGTTGGTGTTGTGATGCAGGTAATAAAAACGGAATGTGTTCATCTACTGTGCAACATATTGATATTCTGTACTTCCTATATACTTCTAAGATCTACGTATAGAATGGGCGTTATGGCCGAAACCAGCAGGCCTTTAGGAGGGGGTACAGATTTCGCTAGGTTACTCTGTCTATTATGATTCGACCACTAGCGCGCAATATGAGCAGCTCAGGCAATTAACAAATTCCTTTCCGTGCGCCTGGCGAAGCCAGGCCAGCTCGGCGAAGCCGAGCTGAAAAGAAGGAGGAGAGCTCGGCGTCAGCCGGGCGATCCGACTGGTTTAACAATAAATGGGAGAAAATGGTAGAAAGTTGAGGAAATTTAGGAAGATGGAGGTAGGATGTGGGGGATGGGAAAGGGAGGGGTATTAGCACAGAAGGAAATCATAAAGGGGATCGTATTTTGCATCCCCAGCGGTAGGTCGTGCCCAAATTCCAATCCTCCCTTACCTTCCTTCTAGCCTCCAAAGTGGATTCCATAATCATAACTACACGACTAGGAGGCGTCAGCTCTTCTCGGCTGAATACTTTGGAGGTGAGGGGAAGGACCTTTGAAAAACTCCTGGGGATAACTGAAACGAAGATCAAGTCTTCTGCTAAACCACTAACCATAAGGAAAGAGAAACACCTGGTTGATGAAAAAGTTAAAGGGTTGCTTCGATTTGGATGAATTTATTCCCACCTTGCGCAAGAAATCCTATGAATGCCCACCTCAACACTAAGCCCTGTCGAAAATGGATGCCGCTGTTAGCGAAATATTGAAAACAGCTAGCGCAGTTACACTTTGCTCATCAGCGCTCATTAGATACGGGGATGTGTGCACAGTGGAGGTGCGCATGTACAATCTGAAGTGGTCCGTTTGGGCAGTCGCAATCAGTCGCAACATCGTCTCATTGCCCTTCATCAGGGTAGGTTTGGACAGCTGACCACATTCCATAGAGCTTGTATGAAATTGCTTTCGTATCGGAGGGGCCGGGAGGAGAGCTGACGTGGCTACATAGCCACGGAATTTTTTGAATGATCCGTAACATCATATCGCTGATGACACTATGAAGGTCAGCTTCGAACAGTCGCCACTCATTTCTTTTTTAACTTCGAGGAAACTCCAGCAACGTTGCCCCGGAGATGATGCCCAGCCGCGCTCCGTTGGCTCGATCTCGTACCGCCTTGCATTGAGCTATCGCATATCTCCTTGGCTTTCCATGCTTCCTATTGTGTGTCCAGATACAGGGCCTGATTTTTCAAGCCCTGTACCTCTGAACGTATTATTGACTAGACGTTGGCTACATCGTAAGAGCCCCCACTAATGATGGGATTAAATATCGCAGAGAATATTCAGAATTATCAACAGAAAGACGCCCTGGGAATGATAGCACGTCACCGATAATTTAGCCGTAAAACGATGTGCAATTTACTGGAGTCAGTGTGTGCAAGTGCAACATTACTTTCTATTTGACGCTTGGAGCATTACGGTAGAAACAGATTTTTTGCCAAGGATATCGGTTTCCTCCATTTTTTTTCTTGGAAGTAGCTGATATTCAATGTTTCTGTTCCTATAGTTCACTTGGCATTTTTTGCATCAATGCATATGACGCAAATCCGATTCATTGTAGCCGGCGTGAAAATTGTAGTTGTACGAAACTAAGGTCGTGTTACACAAAGCCCGATGCACTCACGCACCCCTATTCCCATTGTCTTGAGAAACGTTTTCCTCATATTCTCCTTTCGCTTACGTCAATGACTTGCTATTCTTCATATACTAGTAACAGGTTCAAGATATTTTAACTTTTCATGAGAAACTCCATTACCATCATTTTCAACTTAATTTTGCCTAAAATTGACATCATTGTAAACTATCGCCTTGATTTCAATCGATAACCTTCTGTTGCTGGTTAGTGCGATAAAAAAACAAACATTAAAAAGAAAAATGTTGGGCATACACCCAATGAGCTTACTGGAAGAGATTCTGTAAATCTTTTTGCTTACATGTTTGCTGTGGGAGCTGCTCTATTCTTCTTCCGCTGAATGTTGAGTAATATTTGGCAGTATTCTCAGACCCGTGGATAATCTATCACGGCTGTGTCTAACCCTAACGGGACGGGCATTTTTTTATCACCGAACATTCTTTCTTCTGTTTTTTTTTGCGCTTAGTGGAGCATTCGCTCCATCAGCAGTTACAATGAGTGCAATGCTTTTGATAAATAATGAGATGAAGAATTCATATAGC